TGAGGATTCATTTTAACAAGCGATATTTGAATAATGAGTAATGCACGCAATCGTTTAGAAAGCATATATTCTTTTATAAAAGACCACAAGGATTAGGACAATTATCATCTAACAGTTATGTGAGTTAAATATGATACCACTTTTGTCGCATCAGATATTTTGATGAATTTAGATGCATTTGAAGTTTCCATTTGTTCTTGTGATACCAAACAAACGCGAGTTTGTGCACCGTTTGCATAACTGGGATCCAGTGAACTGTAACTTATTCGGTATCATCACCTACGAATAATATAGCCGCCAGGTTTATTTATTTGGGCATTTTGAATGAGAAACCTTCTTAGCCAATGTAAATTGCTTTCTTTTAAACATGCATTGGCCTTCATGATCTTCAAGGAATGTAACATTGAATGCTAGAGACATGATGTTTTGTACCTATCTCGGCAGAGAAAATTGTCGTGGGATAAGCAAAGTAGGTTTCCATCTAAATTTTTTCGATTTTCTTTTCAAATCCTTTATGGCTGGGTGTTTTTTGAAACCCTTGGAGTAGTCTATCCGTAGCCAAACTGCCTGAACGGTTGTGATACGTTTGTGGAGGTAAATAAATCCCCAGAATCAATAGCTCTGTAAGTCTTTGACATTTGATGATGACCACATTAGTTTTACTGAACTCACCTGGCTGAAAGCGCTCAGTAACGCATCCGCACTAGATCACGAGTGGGTATGCTCATTTGCACATCTCCTACAGCCGATAGCCAGTTTAGACTAATCACTTCCCAATACATCGATAGCCTATCAAATATATCTTCGATAAGTTTCTCTGAAGATGAAAGCCCTAGTGAGTGAAATGTCTAAGCGGGGAACTACCTCTTTCACTGACAGATTTGAACACTTTATAGCGAGCAAAGTTTTTAATAAAGATAATACTGTAATTGTCTGAAGACCTGAAGTGTAAGATCCATTTTGAAAGTTTTGTGTGTGAAAATCCCTTCAGGTGTACACTTGTAACTTATACCTATTGATTCCTTCAGTTGTGCATTTCTTAACTCTTTTTGATTCTATTTGAGATGGTAATATTTTTTCATTTTATTGTAGTCCTTATTTTTTCCACGTCTTCACTGAATTTCTACGTTTCTTCATGAACTGCATTTATGTTGGTTTAGTTGATACTTAGTCTTGGTGGTTTTCTTATATTATTTGTCAACTTGTTTATTTATTGTGAGTTAGATTTGATTGCTGGTTGAACGATGATTGGTTGAATATCTGGGTGGTAATATTTGTTTAGGTAGTAATTTACATTCGTATTTATAATGAAATCTAGAACCGCCATTTACTCAATCGCCTTGTTTTGGTTTCAACTGGGCAATAGCGCGTTTCTGAACTACCTAGACAGTTATTCTTCAGTCCAAACCTAAGTTACGATTCTAGACTGATGTACGAGTTCATTTATTCTGCTTTCTTGTACATGTACTTTCATCAGCGGCCAAAAACTAAGAGATTCAGACTATGACAGTCCGCGGTATAAGACATGAACAGGTTGGAGTAGACTGTCAAATGAAGTAAGATCTCGACTCAATCGCACGTTAACCTCAAATGTTTAATACAAACATAATAAGTCTACACATCTATATGCTCACTTTAAAATGCATCATCTGATAGCATGTAACGGTCAAGCACGTTACTGAAATTTTATTGTTTAACCTGTACTCAGTTGTGGGATTAATTCGAATGACTTGTGTGTGAATAATAATAATAGATTCTTGTTTAATATCTGCCTGTCTATCCGTTAATCATAATCTACTAATATATCAACCAGTAAATATTTGAAATATGCAGACTAAATGACACTTTGGAGAGTTTGTGCTAATTTCAATATAGTGTAGATTAAACTATTCTACTACAATCCTTGATTTTTAACTACAATACAGCTTCTAGTTGTTCTTATGCCAGGATTATCTCTGTTCAGGTAGGATTTTTGCTAATTCTGTTGTCAGTGTCAAACGCTAAAAGGCTTACTCCGGGTACTGTTCCAGCACTACGATTATTCCAGTCCACTTGCTCGCATCCAGTCATACTTTACTTTGGCGATTTATTACTACCGTCCATGACAATTAATTCAACTGCTTAAATGTGCACTGCAAAACATACAGTTCAAGCGAACGAACAGAGCATGCTTTTCATCAATAAAATATATTCAGGACCATTTCCTACACAGTATATCCGCATATCTATAAGACATGTCTCTTATTATTCTCGTGTTTGGAACTGAGACTTACAGTGAGGCCGAAAATTAAAGTGTGGCGCGAAACAGTGGTGCAAGAAAGATTTTTTTAAAACCGTTCAACAATGCTGGTTTTAATAAACACTACTAATTAGAGGAGTTAGGTCAAAAACTATCGAAATTATCACACAGCGACACCATATGGACACATTGTACTATCAAGGTAGCCAGGCTAAAAGTCTTACGTTCCCACACTGCATCTTGTCTTTCTTACTAGTCATCAATAACTTCACTCCGATTCCTTCTAGGGTCATCGTTGGTCTTGGGCCGGAGTAAATGAGGAGGGTTGGGCAGAGGGTTATCAAGCTCGTTCTGTAAAAAGGAACACTTCCAACAATTTCCACTGAGGATAGTTATGATAACTCATGGCAAGGACCGAGATTCCTTGGACTTCACAAAACTCATACCCCATTTAACAGATAGAATAACAATTCATATAAGTACATAAAATTTCCGAGTAATATAGAAGAAAAAAAGATCATGCAGGCAGCTATGAGAACGGAAAAACACCTCTATTTCTGTTTTTATAATAAGTGAAACCCACTGGATACTAGCTGTACAGAAAGGACAGGTTTTGAAAGTGGTGGAGCTGTATTATGATCATGAAGTCAGTGCCCTACACATAAGGAGTCAATGATGTTCTTTAAAATTCGTGAAGTATTTGAAAGGTGGAAAACTCGTGAATGCATGATTATCGAATCACTCTTCAGATTCGAGAGAAAAGCAAATTACAATAGATGTCAATTTGGGGAGGAACATTTTGTTTGGTTCGGGCTCTTTATGATTGAGGATGAGGCAATTAATCGGCGATACTGAGGTTGTTCCACTAAGCTTGCTACTCGGACTCATGTTTCCAATTTTATGTTGAATTCGCTATTCGACTAAGTCAACCTGTGATATGTTAACCCAGACTTTTGCATTATGACCTAGTGGGTAGCATCAAGTGAAAAATATTGAAACATACAATAAATTATATAACCATTAGCCTTTTTCAACGCCTTACTTTCTTTTGATGCACATCTCATCCTAATAAACAGCCTTCATTATTCTAACTACAACTTCCCTTCCATCATTTGAACCCATTCCACTTCATTACATATGGCGACTGATTATTCTTTATTACTGTATTCATTTATATGAAGGCCCTAACTGCATTAAATCCTAGCAACAGCAGCTAGTGTAAGTTTTATCTACTAATTTATCAAACCTTTGTTTGTTTCACTACAAACCCTTAAGCATTGCTTGGGGTTAACATCAGCACACGGCTATGGAGCTTCTTACTCCTGAAACAAACTTAGCGTATAATTTCATCACAGCCATGCTAAGCGCCCCTTAAATGTGCATTATAACAACTACAAACTTAAAAGTTTTATTGTGGAAATACTTAGAACACCCAGAATTCCAACACAGGGAGACCGATTTTGGACCTGGTGTACAACGTGGACACGATTCCATTTTTGGAAAGGATTATAAAAATTGCACTCAGCGAGATACTAAAATATAAACCTAATCATTAAATTTCTGGGACATCTGCAAGAACAAAGTGTCTTTTATTTTTATTTGTTCCATTTATTTTAACAACCCTACTCGAGAAGCGTACTTTATGCAGACAAACATTGTAAATTAAAGATCATGCCTGTAAACATATCATTGTATAAATGACCGATGCAACCCTCGTACCAATGAAGGACGAGATCACAGAGATCACTTTTCCGAAATACTGAGGTAAACCCTCGAGCAATACTAAGGAAAGCAACTGACCATTCTTAAGAGTTACTTAAACACCAAGGTTGCAATGGAAAATATATTGTACATATGCACCATGGAACCAGATAAACTAGAGAAAAAAAGAAATGGTGTGAAGCTGGCAAATTTACATTCTTTCGGAAATATGGTGATAGGTGATATCATTCCTCCCCTCAAAGATCAAAAAACGTCACGTGTTTCAACAGGCTACAACACGAGGAAGCAGATCAGTCACATCTGTATCAATGAACAACTGTAGGGTATTCGTGGGGGGGGAAAGGAGCAAATTAAGAAGCTGGTAAAGTTTTAGACTGTCAAGTGATGGAAGAAAAGCTGAAGTCATGGGAGCATTGGGCAATCGGACAAGTGGCACTACAAAAGTTTTATACAACTTTCCGTTGAGATGCTAACAAACCTATATAATTCAAAACAGCTCCCTGCAATCAACTCTAAGCTTTCCAAGATGCACCAAGAGAAATAGGTCAGCATAACAGGGGGTGCTGACCCATGAAACGTATCGGCATGATTAGTGGTTCTCTAGTGACACTCTTGATAAAATTTGAAAATGGAGAGAAATAAATTCCCGGAGTAAATATACAAAAGCGAAAAAGCAGGTTTAAGAAAGGGAATATACATATAAGGCTGGGCCGTTATATCGGAAGATGTGAGAAATAAACATTGGAGAACTGTGTCATATAACCGAGAAGCTAGGAGGGAAAGGTAGCAAGCGAGAGTGATAAAATGAAAACAACGAAAGGTGATCAATTACTGATGTCTAAATAAGGTGGAAAATATGTGCACTCTGAGAAGCTATTACTTCTACAAGTGTCAGTGAACACAGCTTTAAATGTGCACTTAAACTTTTTAAAAAGAATACGCATAATATACAGTGGAAGAAAGTGGCAAGACCACTGGATAAGTCGGGATTGTCAAGTCAGATGAGGCACTGAAGTTGGATACCAATGTACCTCTTAAAATGTGTGGAGCTGTATTCCGACAGGCTCATCAAAATACGGGAAGTGCAGATCTAAGTAGGTGTGAGAACAACAGAGTCACTACACTGTTCTCTGTACTAGCCAGTTTTTCCCAACAATGTCATTCAACCAAATGAAAAATTTAGTGTACGCCAAAGTTTGCAGTCAACAAGAAGGTTTTCAAAAAGACAGATTACATATCGACCAAATATTGGCACTGTGGTGGATTTTTGGTGATCTGTCGAACGCAGCTCATCACTAAACAACAGCTTCCTTGATTATAAGAAGATATTCAACTGTATGTATGAAAGAATCCCGTGGAATGTTCCTTAAATTCTGGAGTAGCCTATAAGATCACTATCTTAAAGAAGTACAACACGGGACTGAGCTGAGTGCTCATGGCAGCTCAAGAACCTACTCTGAATATCAGTGCTTACAGACAAGGCTACCTACTCTCACCTTTCCTGTTTCTTCTGGTACTTGATTGTGCTAGGTAGACATTCATATATCAGGAAGAGCACTGAATATAGAGTAAACCTGAGACTTAGCTGGACGATTTTGACCACAGGTGATTAAGCCCATCTATCTCATATATAATAAGATGTGCAAAACAGGAAGGTTGGTGTGGCAGCAATTTTTGCGTAGACAAACATTAACACTTTCAAGGGACAAACAAAATCCTGAAATGCATCGCGGCAACAGGCAGCGAAATTCCACACGGTGGATAGTTTAAATAACGTGTCGGAACCGTTAATAAACAATGACGTTCTGAAGTTATTGTTAAGTTATGTGATAACAAACTAAGTAAAACATCCCATTTAGAACTAAGAACTGTCATTTCAGAACGTGGTCACAATTCTCAAATAACAGTTTGTTACAACTCTCAATGCAAACGTTCAAACAGTTCACTTGCGCGGAACGGAAGCCTACAGTAGCAACACAATTATCACCAATGGGTACAACTTGTCTGAGCAAACGATCCGAGATCCGTTGATTCGAGACAATCAACAAAAACCTGCCGTAACGAATAACAAACCAACTTCCAACTGAGAAAGAATTTGGAACACGACGTTGGAGGTGGACAAAATACAATTTATGAAAATCAGGAAATTACACCACAGAGAAAGTCAACAACTTGAAGTTCTCAAGGTGAAGGAAAAAGTCGCGAACTAAGAAAAACACACCAATGCCAGATAGAGGCATACATCAAAAGTTGATGACAATTAAAGGGAAGAGCCAAAAACAGAATTGTTTGAAGACTTCTGGTCTATGGAGGCGAAACGAACTTAGTTAGACTCCATTTTCGTCCTACTTATCTGTCTCGGGATTATTTTGTTCGAAAGTCATTGATTACCAATGTAGTCTGATTCTGTCGAATACAAGGTATCTTCCAACACAACACTCAACTGGGCATTTGTTTCCTCCAAAGTGATTCGAAAGTTTTCTGCAAGTAGAGAGATTTTCAAGTGGAGTTTTGCAATGATCTGATTACAGCTGACCCAAGTTACAAAATAGTTATTTACAATTATTTGTATCAGAACCCTCAATATTCTTGTCTAAGTGTTTCACTTTCTTCGCCCATAAAAGCTGCTCTTGCATTTAGTCATTTTCATCTAGGCCCAATGTGTTAATTAGAAGTATTTGAATTATAGTACGAACTAAGAATCCCAGAAATAACGCAATCGGATCAAGAAGTACTAGATAAGCACAAACGAATGTACTGTACTTGAAATTTGAAATTAAGCATACAATAAGTACAATGGAATCATTAGTTTATTGAAACACCACAACCAACCATCCTTTACAAAAATAATTTGGCCCCGAGGAATGTCGACATAAGTGTTAATAGAGCATTTAAGTGAAGTGATCAAAGATCCACGTCCTCGTTCGGACGAGTTTGTTGACCTTTTGTGAGACCTTTTCAGACCAAGGTTGTTAGGTAGTAAGTCAGTTAAAAACAGACTATTAATTTCATGTACATCCGGCTTATTAAACTTTTACATTTAATAAATCGACGCGAATACTCATACAGCGCTCTCGTCAAGTGTCAAGGATGTTGTAGATCATCGTAGCTTTCTCGGATTATTCTTATGACATGTACTAGTGATCCTGTGGTATTTTTGTCATAAAGCAAAATATTTTGTTCACTTATTATTAGAACAATCGCTACTCCTGATATCGTTTGACATAGAACAGTTTCTTGTAATCATTGTAAGTTCCCAGTCGATGTGTATTATGCCTAGAAAATAAACCATCCAGTTTATTTCAAAAATAAATCAAAAACCAGTATCAATGTTTATCACTATTTTATCCGCTCTTTTTGGTTGCTTATCTGTGTGTTCCTTTGTCTTGTAAAGCGTAGATGCCATTAATAATAGGTTTCTTGTTGCATGCTCACGTATTATGGTATTACCGAGCTTTTTCATATCAGAATTCAACCATTTTTGTTTGCTATTAAATTGCGTACATCAGTGGTAGGCTGTAGAGATTCTAGTCACCTTATTGACAATGTCTACATTGTCAACCATTTTACACTCCTTATCATAATGTCATAAATCATGCTATTGCAGTAGCACCTACGAATATACAACTGAATAGCAGTAAATCGTTCTACTGTGATATTATGGCTAAGCTCTGGCTAAACGTGACGTTCATAAGTTACTTATAGACTAAATAGCCGTCGCCGTGACTAAATACCCATTTGTTGTTCTCGATAGTGCCCGCATCGTGTTGACGGTGGCTTGCGTCGACCTTCTAAAGATGACGTTGACAAAATACCGGAATCTGTTAGACTGCTCTACTTCAGAGAGGCCATATTCTAAAAACGTGAACGAAAGAGTGCCATTCTATACAACTTTTTCCACTTATAAATTTAATGAAAGCGACATCAATTATATCATTTCGTTGAAATCACGAGGTGATCTAAGTTAGACCACCATTAAAAACCTAAAAACACTGGATGTCTGTTTTGCTCTTTTACGGTACTCTTTGACAGTGGTCATCGACGATCCTGCATACGAGAATCGAACGCAGGACCTCTAGTCTCTCGCAAACGCTTAACCTCTAGACCACTAAGTCGGCATCTAATGGTGTTAAGATGTAATTTCAGTCAGTCCACGACATTTCGTGACCGCATTTCCTTGTCTTTGGTGCGTAATTATCTCACATCTAACGCGGATCAGCTCCACCAGTAACGGCTTTTCACTAGAACTCCGTAAATTTCTCGAATCTGGTCACTAGTGAACATGTGGTAATTGTCAGTGGGTTGTGGAGGTTGTTTAAATCGCGAACCAATCAAAGTTGGACCGTCACTGAAAGCCTGCAAGCACTGGACAGCCGTTTCGTCATGGTGTGGAACTCAACAGTGGGCATCCACAAGTCACGGGTAAGACGGGAAATAGATTAATGTTGCTGTTATTTTAAATGATAAAAATAAGAGGAATAGATACCTTTAGTATTAATTATATGTTAACCTCAGGCTAAAATGAATGTATTGAGACTGTACAACGTGCTATTACTGAACTTATTAGTACAAAGCCTAAAAGGTATGAGTCAATGCATGTATTTCTTTTTCTGGTTTGATGTTTGTCCAAAATATTATTCTGTCCCGTCTTATTTCGCACTTCTTGTTATTTTAGAATACTCTTGTTTGCATAGGACAGTTTCAAGTAGTTCTTTTTTATGTAAATGAACTTTGTTTGCCGGAATCAAAGCTCATTGGTAATGATAGTGAGGATTTAGCAGCTTCATCGCACATAAGGTAAACTTCTTTCTATACTTATTTCCTAAGCGTTATCTTTACATTTTAATTGGGATACTTAGGGCGTAAAATTCTATAGATTTATTTAGTTGTCACTATTATTAAAGTATATGGAGTAAATTCTTATTCCCCGTTTGAAATAATAACCTCTGTATGTATCACTTTTAACCCATTTCACTTATTCCATTAACTTTCAACATTTATTTTCGAAAAGTATTTTACCAAAAAACTGAAGTAAAAGTGTATAAGCTGACATTACGGCCTAAACGTGATTACATTTTCACACAGTGATGTGGGAATTCATTGTTAGATACTGGGTTAAGTATGGTCGAATCCCAATGAATTTTCATTAAGTCTCAGCACCTAAAACTGCCGAAGCGAAATTAAATTTGGACACTTCAAGCAGAAAAATTCTGTATTAATTTCATTTTGTTAGATATGTAATTCATAAGATTATCGAATTTTTTACTAGATCTTCATATGCCACGTATAAATTCGATGTTCATCTTACTGTGCTAATGAGTTGTGGCAACTTGGACCGATACATTTATGTGCTTGGTCCTACGTTGTAGCTGACTGACTCTCATACACTTTCTTATGTCAATAATCAGTATGCTGTGAAACAGAATCAAGGAATGTATATCATATGTGTCGATTTACAATCACTACCATTTTCGAATCGTTACTCATTTTTTCGTTACCGATGCAACCAATTCTTTTCCTGATTTTTATTTCATTAAAATGATTCACGACTGGTGGTTCTGTTTGTTCTATTCGATTCAGAAAGTAAAGCATCAGACAAAATGGCGAAGAATGTAATTGTGCTGCTTACATTGATTTAAGTTATTTAGTTTCATCCGCATTTTTAAAATACCAGAATACTATATATAGTTTGGGATGTTGACATGTAATGACAATGAAACATATATTAACACCAAAAGTTTCGCTTCCTAAAGTTTTTATGTTATTAATAAAACAAACAAAATACGCAGAATCTCCAGGTTATGAAATGCCATAATACTTACCACCTGAATCAGAGAATTACGATATACCAACGGATGCCAGTTCAAATCATCTCTCAGTTCCTACAGGTTCATATGATTAATGAGTTAAATAAATATATCAAACATGATCACCTTATCAACTTAATGATAATAGTTCATCTAACTGGAGACTTATTTAATTTATTTTTCGGCATACTTCATTTCGCACAACTTAGAAATCTCATTAGATCTCACGAAATGAATACACCACACATTCGTGATCTAATATTATTGTGGAGCTTTGTTTTATGTTATTTATCAAGATTTCCGAACTACTGAACAATGAGTATCTCTCATTCGACATCACCCAATTTTGGGGAAAAGCCTCACTTCAAAATTACCGATCGACAGCGATCAGCACCTGGTGTGGAATACCTACAAGGAAATAATCATTGGTTTGAAGAGGAAGAAGAATGGCAGTCGGTGAGGGTACTCAGTAATCTTTTTTCCGGTATTTTTTTCTTACCTCATCCTTTGTGTAATATGAAATTTTCGTCCCGAAATATTTAAAGATAGTAAGTGAGGAAAATTGATTTCGAAAGTTGAGGTTGTCTGCAGAAGGAAATACAGCCAAATACTTTCACTTGTTGACATTTCCTTAAAATCGACTTATACACCAAGATACTTGACGTTCACTTTAAGTTCATGGTTCACTACCAGCATCCTTTGTTTGGACAAAATTATTTTAAGGATTAGAGTCGTAACTGTATAATAACTTAGCCCCCTTATTGTCCTGAATGAATATGATTGTCAGTTGTCATGGCTTTATGACGCGTTATGTTTTCATGTAGTCACCAATAAACTGTTAAATTGATACTTGGCTTGATAATGAGCATACGCTCGGTCACGGTCAGTTAACTAAGTATACATTAGTGATGTAATTCAGCAATCAAGTGAAAATTCATAGAACACTCACTAATCAAAATATGTAACAGGGTTTGACAGTCTCCTATAAAATGGTAGTCTAAACCTAAAATGATGATGACCCAAGTTACTGTGTTCATCAGGTAGCTCAACAATAATTACTTAAATTGATTTCTTAAGAGGAACGCTGTTGCTAAAGATTTTTTTAACTGCTGTTTGTAAACAGAATACTAACAGTAAACATTTTGCTCTTATCATCAGTATCCATTAAATACGTTATGCATGGTAGATATTTGTGTCTTTGAAAAGTATCTCTTATCATTCGGATGTCTATTTAACTAAATGTTATGATTATCGCTATACTGTCCAGATTTTTAATATTGTAGATTTGATTTTAATTGCCCAGTCCCTTTCGTCATGTATGAAATTTCTTAAGTTTATTAATTCTCTTAATTGATAGGATTTCTGGTCGACTGTAAGTCTTATAACCGATCATAAATCATATCAATAAACAAACATCGGATTTATTCGGGTTTTTTTCCACTTATGTACTGTATATTTACTTTTAGAAGTTGGATGTTTGGCGTGAAAAACGTCGTCAAGCCTTACTCACTGAGGCAACAAAATTCGCCTTACTTCAAGAGCGTGAGAGTAGGGAGAATGAAAGACGTAAGGAAGAAGTAAAAGATCGCCTTCGTAAAGCCAAGTATGTGAAATGTGTAGTTGTTCAACATTTCCTTAAAATATTTTCTTATCCAAACGATTGAACATAATAGGGCATTAAATAGTTCATGGAAATATCTGTACCAAAACTGAACCACCCTAGTGTTTTCACAAGCGTTTATTATAAGTTTATAGTTTACAAGGTTTTCTCGGATACGGTAAAATGAATAAATTAGCTACTTGTTATAATTAAGAAGATACTTGAAAATAACATAAAACTATGTGTTTATTCAAAGTTATAGGTTAGTAAAATAAAGTTATTGATTTATAAGATTTGGAATTATAATCGTAGTCGAAAAACATATTAAGCCACTTCCTTTTGTCTAGTCAGTGTAATTGTTATCTACCAAGGTTAAGTACCTCTATTCGTTTTGTGTTCTTGGATTTTCTGTTACATGTGTATGTGAAGAAGACTGTGTTTGTTAGGTTTCGTCCCATCGTACGAATAATTTTAGACCAAGAGTATGCTTCAATAGAATACTCAGTATCGATAGTGTCATACCTCTCCAGATTTTTTTTATCTTTTTAATCATGTGGCCAATGATGCAGACCGTTTCATTTCAATTCTTCACACTACTGTAGTTAACAGATGTTGAATATGATATGTATTTAGTAGTTCACGCCTTGCAACGCAATTGACTGTTTTCATTATTTTTCTTGCGATCCTAGAAGCCAACGTAATCTAATTTCCAGTGGACATGTTTCTTCCTTAGATTTAGCTCCACCACCAAAAATTAATAGTCCTGGTGTCGCATTACTAACAGGTAGCGATTTTGATCCGCTCACTTTCGGTCATTTTGAAAAAAGTCAAATGGATACAGTCTCACCATCACAATCGGTTTCTTCGAATAAATTTCAGTACACAGATAGTTCAGATCATTTTAAGTCAAATGACTCCGAGACTAATTTGAAGGCTTACTCCGATTGTTCTTCACCTGTGTCTGAACTGAAAAGTGAAGTTCAGGTAAGTGTTTTAAGAGTCGGCTTTTTATTCCTTTTATGTTTTTTCCTCTCTAGGCGTTTTAATATGTGGCTATTTTGAGCATTAATAAAGAGCGGTCTCATAGTCTAACTGGGATAGTCCGTTAACATTCCAATCTGATATATATATAAAATAGCAAAGTAGTAACATATTTTCTTGTTAGGCTGTTTGAATTCACAACAATTTTACTTTGTTTCATTCTTATCTCAGTTGAGAAATGTTATAAATGTTCAAAAAATTACAAGCACCTTAGCTTAAATTGGAAGTAAAAATAGTTGAAGTCAATCGATTACATCACTACATTATGACAGTTTAATGAAAGATGAAGTTTAACTAAAACTATGTGATATACTTACTCAGTATCTTTCAAATAATTTGATCTTGTATTTACTCATCGATGTATTTTGTCTGAAAATGAAATAGAATTGTATCAATTAATTTTAATACTAAAAAATGAGAGGAAAAACAGGTAATGAGAAAGAATAACAACCTTTAAATGAAATTACTAGGCCAAAGTTTTTTAATCAGGTAAAGGGGATTAGACATCCATCCTGTTAGTTTCTCACTGATTGTTCCTACTCAATTATCACTAAACTCCTTTCTGATTATTTCTATTATTGTGGATAATGATGGTTGTTTATCGCTTATGAAAGAAAGAGTCTATTCAAGACTGTCTAGTCAAGTTAAATCGAACAACCTAATTTTGGAAATAGCTCTTAAATCGGCCTTTAGCGAAACGTATTATACCAAAAACACTGACTTGAATAACATTACAAAGTCTGTTCTTTGACACAACATATAAACGATTACATTATCGTGTCATATTTTTCAGTCAAACTTGTTTGTGTTTGTAAGTATGTCACGTGAAATAATTGATATATTAGTTCACTAATACCGTGACGAATACCTGAATAATTTCAAAACTAGTGAGTTGTCCAAACTTTGATAAATCCCATCGGAAGACGGTTTGTCTCTTCTGTAGTTGAATATATCTCAAAAACCATTCATAAAGTCTATGCGAAAACAGATTTCAGCTCCGTACGTTAAAAGCTATCGTATATGCACACAGACGTTTAGAGTTCTAGTTTTGAAAATATAGTCAGCTTTTTCTCATCTTTAATCTGCCTCGAAAATTTCTGTCTCCTTTTAATGGAAAAACTGGCAAGTTCGATAGTTTATCGAAATATTTAAAACAATGTAAATATATTGAAATTTCTTACGGATGAGAATTTACCAGTGAGAAGTAAAATAACGCTTAAGATAATCAATAATTATCATATTTTTATGTTTGTAGAGTAATATTACGGACAAAATAATGGATGTTTCTTCAAATAAAAATTCTGTCGAAAAATATGCCAAATGTAATCGAATTGAAGTAATTCGTGATCTGAT